ACGGTCCGGAGAACAGTGCAGGGTGCCTAGGAGGGACATTTTAGATCCTCCCTCTTGACGGAGTTCCACCGAGTCATCCCACTCGCCCTGCTCCGCGTCCTCCTGGCCGTCCCCGAGGCCGGGGTCGGCGCACGGCTGGAGCCGTGCGTCAAGGGGGGGGGGTTACTGTCACGGATTCTGCCGAGGCTGCTCCTCCTCCTTGCTCAGGCAGGCTTCGGCGTTCGTCGTCCCCGGAGTACTAGCTACTGCCGATCTATGTTTTCGGTGTTTGTCTTGTGTTGTCTAGTTAGTACACCTGTTGCATATTAGTGTTGATTGTTTAGCATATAAGTTCCCTTGTTTTACGTTTGGGCTTTGTGTGTTATTGTTCATTGTCTTTGTTGATGTTCGGCCTAGCTACTACTTCGGATTACGCATATGGTGTTTTTTCCCTCCAGTGTTGGAGACGTTTGTTTTGTGCGTAACGCTCAGTAAAGTAGTCAACCTGATTCTCTGTGTCCTGCGTCTGACTTCGCTCGCCGCGTACACATCACCGCCTGACAATAAATAAATAGCAGGCCTATGATAATTAATTAAAGCATTTCTGAGTAAAGCTCACATAATAAGTGTCACAAGTTAATTAGCCTACATAAATTCCGATCAGTCCAAAGTCTTGGTGTGTGTGTATGTGCTGAAGGTGAGTGAAAGCTCGGGAGAAAGGGGGGAGTGTGGCGGGGGTACCTATACCAGATTGGGGGAGAGAGGTCAACGGCAATGTACAGCGCCTTCGGAAAGTATTCAGACCCCTTGACTTTTCCACATTTTGTTAGGTTACAGCCTTATTCTAAAATGGATTAAATATATGTTTTTTTCTCATCAATCTACACACAATTCCCCATAATGACAAAGCAAAACAGGTTTCTATAAATTTTACTCAGTACTTTGTTGAAGCACCTTAGCAGCAATTACCAGCCTCCAGCCTTCTTGGGTATGACGCTACAAGCTTGGCACACCATTATTTGGGGAGTTTCTCCCCATTCTTCTCTGTAGATCCTCTCAAGCTCTGCTGCACAGCTATTTTCAGGTCTCTCCAGAGATGTTAGATCGGGATCAAGTCCAGGCTCTGGCTGGGCCACTCTGGAGCAGGTTTCATCAAGGATCTCTCTGTACTTTGCTCCGTTCATCTTTCCCTCGATCCTGACTAGTCCCTGCCTCTGAAAAATACCCCCACAGCATGATGCTGCCACCACCATGCTTCACCATAGTGATGGTGCCAGTTTCCTCCAGACGTGACGCCTGACATTCAGGCCAAAGAGTTCAATCTTGGTTTCATCAGACCAGAGAATCTTGTTTCTCATGGTCTGAGAGTCTTTAGGTGCCTTTTGGCAAACTCCAAGCGGGCTTTCATGTGCCTTTTACTGAGGAGTGGCTTCCGTCTGGCCACTCTACCATAAAGGCCTGATTGGTGGAGTGCTGCAGAGATGCTTGTCCTTCTGGAAGGTTCTCCCATCTCCACAGAGGAACTCTAGAGCTCTGTCAGAGTGACCATCATGTTCTTGGTCACCTCCCTGTCCAAGACCCTTCTCCCCCAATTGCTCAGTTTGGCCAGGCGGCCAGCTCTAGGAAGAGTCTTGGTGGTTCCAAACTTCTTCCATTTAAGAATGATGGAGGCCACTGTGTTCTTGGGGACCTTCAATGCTGCAGACATTTTTTGTTACCCTTCCCCAGATCTGAGCCTCGACACAATCCTGTCTCGGAGCTCCACAGACAATTCCTTCGACCTCATGGCTTGGTTTTTGCTCTGACATGCACTGTCAACTATGGGACCTTATATAGACAGGTCTGTGCCTTTCCAAATCATGTCCAATCAATTGAATTTACCACAGGTGGACTCCAATCAAATTGTAGAAACATCTGAAGGATGATCAATGGAAACAGGATGCACCTGAGCTCAATTTCGAGTCTCATAGCAAAGGGTCTGAATATTTCTGTAAATATGTTTATTTCTATGTTTTATTTTTATAAATTTGCAAAAATATTCAAAACCTGTTTTCACTTTGTAATGATGGGGTATTGTGTGTAGATTGCTGAGGATTTCTTTTTGTTTAATCTATTTTAGAATAAGGCTGTAACGTAGAAACATGTGGAAAAGGTCAAGGGATCTCAATACTTTCCGAAGGCAAAAATCTTTCTGATTTCATGAGGTCATTTGCAACTTGTGTGTGTGTTTTATGTGTGCGTTTAAGGTGCAGGGAACCTTAATGTGGCCTCTGTTAATGTAGCCTCGTCTGGGGCAATTCTCCTGAGTCCTGGCCCGTTGTCCCTAGTCTGGAGGTTCTGTATGGGAGCAGAGATGCTATGAGGTTGTGTATGGGTTGTGTGTGAGATCAGGGTGTCTCTGGGCTCCCAGGTGCTAGCAGGGCCTGTCTAGGTTATTAATGACAGCGATAGACTGGACATCACACACTCCATCACCCTATGCCTAACACACACACACAAACACACACACACACACAAACACACACACAAACAACCGCACACACACACACGTACACACACAGTCCATCACCCTGTGCCTTGCACACCACCAGCTCATCTACCACCCTGGCACCCCTTTACCACCACTCTGGGACTGGAGCGAGAGGTAGGGAGGTAGGGGGAAGATGGAGGGAGGGTGAGGTGAGAGAGGAAGGGATGGAGGGGTGGGGAGTGGGAGAAGGTGTAGAGCAGTGGAGGAGAGAGGAGTGAAAGAGAGTATAGAGAGGGGAGAGAGTAACCCAGCGAGAGCAGAGCGATAGAGGAGGAGGTCAACATAGGTTGGAGAGATGAATGAAGGAGAAAATGAAAAGAGAATGAAAGAGGGGTAGAGAAGAATGATCGTTTATCATCCTAGCCTGTGGACTCGGCACTCACGATCACAAAATAATAACCTGATGGGTTGGGGAGGCTCAGTCAGCTTCTAGCCCAGAAATTATAGAAGGATGATGTAGATGGATAGAACAGCTGAGAGAAAGAGGGAGAGAATTAGAGAGGGAAAGAGAGAGACAGAGAAAGATGGGGATGGAGAAATAGAGAGCGGGAGATGGGAGACGGGAGAGAGGGAGGAAGACGGAGAGTTTAGGAGTAGGGAGAGAGTTCTCTCCTCCCTCTCTCTATCTTGCCTTCTCTCTCCTAGATATCTTCGATCGTAGATATGAGAAGAGAATAGCGCTCTATGAATCCGAAGATAGAGCTTCGCCTCTCTCAGAGAAGATAAGCGATAGATAGAGCGATTGAGAGCGAGAGAAACAGATAGCGGCTGAGCAGACCAACTTCAGTATAGTAACACAACAGAACAAAATAATTTAGGATGTAGAAACACTGAACCATAGTCGGAGGAAAACTGCTAATTCACAGATAAAGGGAACAGTATGTGTTTCAGTGGCAGCCAATCACATTCCACGTCTGGCTCTTAAGGCATTAGCAGTGGGACTCAGAGGTGAAGGACTAACGGACAGGCGGACAGACAGACAGATGGCCAGACGGAAGGAGGGAAAGAAAGAAGGACAGAGTTTTCTTCCTGCTTTAAGAAGCCCACAGCTCTGGATGTGTGTGTCCTTCACCCCTCTCCCACAGGACTATGATCACCACACCACCCACCCCCCTCCCCCCTCATTAAAACACTCTGCCTCAATTGCTAATTAAAGCCCACTTGAAAGTCTTAAAAGTCCGACTCAGATTGATTCAATTTGCATTTCTGAACATGGAACATTGCCTGAAAGGATTCATAAATGGGCTGAAACTGCCTCTTTCTGCAATGTGCTGTTTAGTTATTGCCTGTTGTAAGATGAAGACAACACCCATCCCATACTAAATCAGCCTCTTTCTCTCTCTCTCTCTTTCTCTTTTGCTTACATGCACATTCATGTACGCAAACACACACTCATTCATGCATGCCCACATGCACACACACACACACACACACACACATTCATGTGCACACACACACACACATCTACGACGTGGCTCCTCCCTTCACTCATCAATAAAATTCAGCATGTAAAAAAAATGTGGCCTTAAAATTTGAAAACACACACACTCCTACTACATTTACATTTTAGCAGACGCTCTTATCCAGAGCGACTTACATGAGCAATTAGGGTTAAGTGCCTTGCTTAAGGGCACATCGACAGATTTTTCACCTAGTCGGCTCGGGGATTAGAACCAGCGACCTTTCGGTTACTGGCACAACGCTCTTACCCACTAAGCTACCTGCTGCCCTACTACACACTACTACACACATACTCTCACTTACTGGCAGACATCCACATTTTTGTGGAACGTGATGGAGGTACAAAATAAAGGAGAGAGAGAGAGAGAGAGAGAGAGAGAGAGAGAGAGAGAGAGAGAGAGAGAGAGAGAGAGAGAGAGAGAGAGAGGAGAGAGAGGAGAGGAGAGAGAGAGAGAGAGAGAGAGAGAGAGGAGAAAGAAAGTTGGGGTTTAAAAAGGCAAAGAGAAGAGAAGATTGGCATGAAGACTCAATAATGTTGACGTGCTGTTGATGACTCACTTGATAGAATGAGGAGGAGAGGAGAGGAGGACAGGAGGAAGAGAGGAGAGGCGAGGAGAAGAGGAGAGGAGGAGAAGAGGAGGAGAGGAGAGAGGAGAAGAGGAGAAGAGGAAAGGAGGAGAGGAAGAGAGGAAGAGAGGAGGAGAGAGGTGATAATATATGAGGCGTAGAGCTGTCTTCTGTAGGAGAGATGAGCGGACACGGGTCAGTGCTTCTCTCTCTCTGGGGATGGATGGCTGAGTACAGCATCTGCAGGCCTGTATAGCCTGCAGGATTACTAATATAAAATTGGAGGATCAAATCATGTCTAATAAAAAGACAAAAGTGTGTGTTCCTTTCAAGAAATACACAGCTCATGTAATACAGTAGTTTTCCAATGCCTCCCATGCCATTGATTAGTGCTGGGGGCATGTCCTTCAATATAAGAGGAACCCTTATCACTATCTATTTGTCCTCATACTATTTAGCATCTTTATCACTTAGAAGATCTACAGCTGTACCATTGAGAGCATATTGACTGGCTGCATCACTGCCTGGTATGGCATTAGCACCGCCCTCGATCGCATGGTGCTACAGAGGGTGGTGCGCACAGCCCAGTAGATCACTGGGGCAGAGCTCCCTGCCATTCAGGACATCTATATCAGGCGGTGTGGTAGGAAGGCCCGGAAAATCGTTAAAGACTCCAGCCACCCAAGCCATAGACTCTTCTCTCTGCATCCGCACAGCAAGCAGTACCGGTGCATCAAGTCTGGCACCAACAGGCTCTTGAACAGCTTCTATCCCCAAGCAATAAGACTAATAAATAGCTAACAAAATAACTACACAGACTATCTGAGTTAATCTTGTGTCTTTATTGAACTTTTATTTTTGCACTGTCTCTGCACACTCACAGGGCCATACACACACACACCATCATCTGCTCACACACATAATATGCACATACATTTATGCTGACTCTACACACACGCACACCCACTCACATTCAAACTGCTGCTACTCTGTTTATCTTATATCCTGATGCCTAGTCACCTTACCCCTATACATATCTACCTCCATCACGCCAGTATCCCTGCACATTGTAAATATGGTATTGGAACTGACACTGCATATAGTATGCTTACTTACTTATTATGTTCTTCATATTTCTGTTTTTTTCTAGTATTACATTGTTATTGATCATTGAATTGTTGGGTTTTGAGTTTGCAAGAAAGGCATTTCAGTGTAATTGTTCATGTGACATTAAAAACTTGAAACTTGAGATGAAACTTCACCTCAGTGAGGTACATGTCTGAGGTCACTGGGCAGGCTGCTGTGAGTTGACCTCAGCCTCAGGACATGGATATGAGTCAGACTGAGAGAGAGACAGAGCACGACTCCAGACTGTCTGCTTAGAACAACACTGGCATCTAGTAGCTTGGTAATGTATTGAATATGTTCAATGACATCCTTATAGATGGAATGAGCTGCTGTTTCTAAGTACATGAAGAGGATTCTGTGTGCATGCTATTATCATGATAGGTAATGGTGCTGTCAAGAGCCATGGACCTGCGACTAAAGAGACATTCCGGATTCTATTCTGGATCCTTTGGAATGGAACACGAAGGGTGTCTTAGCCATAGAAATAGACTGAATAGAACGGCCGTCCCCATTCAAGTCAATGATGACATAATGGGTGGACTGGCGACTATTGCGAGTGTACCCAGAGGAGCAAAGCAGGAAGTAAAAGCAGGAAGTAAAAGCAGGAAGTGTACCCATTAATATGTGCTGTGATTTGTTGATTCAACTCAACTAACATTCCAAAAAATAAATGATATTGCATGAGCCACATCAGTTAACATCATTACCATGGAAATTATCGCATCACAATACCAGGCAGCCATTGCGAGTGTGACCATAGGTTTTCCAGTCAAATTGCCAGGGTTAGAGGTTCCAAGCCCGTTCTATTCATTCTATTTCTATAGTCACAGCGCTACCCACAATATAGAGTGATGATGTTACAATGAATGAAATGCTCCTGACTATCAAATTGAATGTTGAACCATAGGGCTTCCACTACCGCCAAGCAACATCAGGAAAGGCAAAGTATAAAGTCAAACTGGGTCCGAGAGGAGTCGTTTCCTCTGGGTACAGATCTAGGGTCAGCTTCCCCTCCTCCAATCCTAACCTTAACCATTAGTGTGGAAAATGCTAAACTGACCCAAGATCAGTGTCTAGGGACATCTCCAGCCACACCTCAGTGAAACACACAGATCAGCTCTGTCATCATTAGTTCTGTGTCAGTGCTGCTCCATGGCCATGGCTGATGGGTTTGATTGATTTCTATTTTGATCGTTTATGACTTGATGATTTATAGAGGACCCCTGTTCATTTATCCTTTTAACACACACTCTGGCTCCGACTTGTTATTCTGAGACTGCCTACACTGCCTATGACTTAGGTTGTGTCCAGAATGGCGCCCTATATAAAGCACTACTTTTGGTTTGTGGAGCCTTATTTGCCCTTAGACATAAAATAGGCAAACTGTTGTACTTGCACAGGTCAAACCTCAAGTTATACCCTGCCCTCCTCCTTCCCTCCTCTCATCCTCTGCCCTCACTTCCAACGATGATGCTCCGTCGCCCCCAAAGGTCAGAGTTCAAGAGGGAAGGACGTGGACTGTGATGAAATCACAAGCTGAGTTTGGGATCGAGTCAGCACTCCAGCGATGGCCCTCTCAGCCCAGAGTGACCAGTCAGACCACTAGTCAGACCACCACCAGTCAGACCACTAGTCAGACCACCACCAGACAAGCCACCACCAGTGTCTCCAGCAGCTCTAATTTTTATGATAACAATGACAATTGACAATATAATAACTATAACCATGGTGATGAGGATGATACCAAACATTAAGAACACCTGCTCTTTCCATAACATAGACTGACCAGGTGAATCCAGGTAAAAGCTATGATCACTTACTGATGTCACTTGTTAAATCCACTTCAAATCAAATCAAAAAAATTTATTGGTCACATGCGCCAAATACAACAGGTGCAGACATTACAGTGAAATGCTTACTTACAGCCCTTAACCAACAGTGCATTTATTTTAAACAAAAAAAGTAAGAATAAAACAACAACAAAAAAAGTGTTGAGAGAAAAAGAGCAGAAGTAAAATAAAGTGACAGTAGGGAGGCTATATATACAGTAAAATAAAGTGACAGTAGGGAGGCTATATATACAGGGGGGTACCGTTGCAGAGTCAATGTGCGGGGGCACCGGCTAGTTGAGGTAGTTGAGGTAATATGTACATGTGGGTAGAGTTAAAGTGACTATGCATAAATACTTAATCAGAGTAGCAGCAGCGTAAAAAGGATGGGGTGGGGGGGCAGTGCAAATAGTCCGGGTAGCCATGATTAGCTGTTCAGGAGTCTTATGGCTTGGGGGTAGAAGCTGTTGAGAAGTCTTTTGGACCTAGACTTGGCACTCCGGTACCGCTTGCCGTGCGGTAGCAGAGAGAACAGTCTATGACTAGGGTGGCTGGAGTCTTTGACAATTTTGAGGGCCTTCCTCTGACACCGCCTGGTATAGAGGTCCTGAATGGCAGGGAGCTTTGCCCCAGTGATGTACTGGGCCGTACGCACTACCCTCTGTAGTGCCTTGCGGTCAGAGGCCAAGCAGTTGCCATACCAGGCGGTGATGCAACCAGTCAGGATGCTCTCGATGGTGCAGCTGTAGAATTTTTTGAGGATCTGAGGACCCATGCCAAATCTTTTTAGTCTCCTGAGGGGGAATAGGCTTTGTCGTGCCCTCTTCACGACTGTCTTGGTGTGTTTGGACCATGATAGTTCGTTGGTGATGTGGACACCAAGGAACTTGAAGCTCTCAACCTGTTCCACTACAGCCCCGTCGATGAGAATGGGGGCGTGCTCAGTCCTCTTTTTTTTCCTGTAGTCCACAATCATCTCCTTTGTCTTGGTCACGTTGAGGGAGAGGTTGTTGTCCTGGCACCACACGGCCAGATCTCTGACCTCCTCCCTATAGGCTGTCTCATCGTTGTCGGTGATCAGGCCTACCACTGTTGTGTCGTCGGCAAACTTAATGATGGTGTTGGAGTCGTGCCTGGCCATGCAGTCATGGGTGAACAGAGAGTACAGGAGGGGACTGAGCACGCACCCCTGAGGGGCCCCCGTGTTGAGGATCAGTGTGGCAGATGTGTTGTTACCTACCCTTACCACCTGGGGGCGGCCCGTCAGGAAGTCCAGGATCCAGTTGCAGAGGGAGGTGTTTAGTCCCAGGATCCTTAGCTTAGTGATGAGCTTAGAGGGCACTATGGTGTTGAATGCTGAGCTGTAGTCAATGAATAGCATTCTCACGTAGGTGTTCCTCTTGTCCAGGTGGGAAAGGGCAGTGTGGAGTGCGATAGAGATTGCATCATCTGTGGATCTGTTGGGGCGGTATGCAAATTGGAGTGGTTCTAGGGTTTCTGGGATTATGCTGTTGATGTGAGCCATGACCAGTCTTTCAAAGCACTTCATGGCTACAGACGTCAGTGCTACGGGTCGGTAGTCATTTAGGCAGGTTATCTTAGAGTTCTTGGGCACGGGGACTATGGTGGTCTGCTTGAAACATGTTGGTATTACAGACTCAGTCAGGGACATGTTGAAAATGTCAGTGAAGACACTTGCCAGTTGGTCAGCACATGCTCGGAGTACACGTCCTGGTAATCCGTCTGGCCCTGCGGCCTTGTGAATGTTGACCTGCTTAAAAGTCTTACTCACATCGGCTACGGAGAGCGTGATCACATAGTCATCCGGAACAGCTGGTGCTCTCATGCATGCTTCAGTGTTGCTTGCCTCGAAGCGAGCATAGAAGTGGTTTAGCTCGTCTGGTAGGCTTGTGTCACTGGGCAGCTCGCGGCTGTGCTTCCCTTTGTAGTCTGTAATAGTTTTCAAGCCCTGCCACATCCGACGAGCGTCAGAGCCAGTGTAGTATGATTCAATTCAATCAGTGTAAATGACAGGTTAAAGAAGGATTTTTAAGAATTTAGACAATTGAGACATGGATTGTGTATGTGTGCCATTCAGAGGGTGAATGGGCAAGACAAAATATTTAAGTGCCTTTGAACGGGGTACGGTAGTAGGCGCTGGGTTTTTCACGCTCAACAGTTTCCCGTGTGTATCAAAAATGGTCCACCACCCAAAGGACATCCAGCCAATTTGACACAACTGTGGGAAGCATTGGAGTCAACATGGGCCAGCATCCCTGTGGAACGCTTTCAACCCCTTGTAGAGTCCATGCCCCGACGAATTGAGGCTATTCTGATATTAGGAAAGTGCACATTTTATATTTTCCTCTCCCACCTACAGACGTATGACCCGTTTGTAACCCCATTGGACGTCAACCCTCTGGGCCTGTCAGGTACGCAGTCCGAGAGTGCCATCATCTGGCACGAGATCACCAACGGGGAGAGATTCTTCTACGGCGCTCACGTGGGCAGCGAGACACACAATGTGGAGTTCAAGAGAGGAGGAGGTCGGGGTCATAGGTCATATGATATACAGTCGGGTCCAATATTATTGGCACCCTTGATAAAGATAAACAAAAAATACTGAGCTATATTGTATGCTCCCAAAAAATTGGGAAATTATATTATTTTATACTAATACAATTGCTCACAGAAATAGATTTTTGTTTAACAAGTAATAAAACAAATTTGCAAAAAGAAAGGTGCCAAATTATTGGCACCCCTGTTTTCAATACTCTGCCACCTTCCCTTTACGATGATAATGGCCCTGAGCCTTTTTCTAAAAAGTTGTATGAGATTTATGATCTTAGACCATTCCTCCACACAGAATCTTTCCAGATCCTTGATATCCTTTGTCTTAGCTTATGGACTGCCCTCTTCAATTCAAACCACAGGTGGCTATCCCTGGAGACTGAGCTAGCCATTGCAAAATGTTGATTTTGTGGTAAAATATAGATGTTGGATCTTAACCTGATCACTCTTTTGTCTCAGTGAATTTTCCTGCTGCATTAGTAAATTAAATTGAGGTGTGCTCTTCACGGATGAATCCCAGTTTCAACTGTACCGGGCAGATGGCGTAGTGTGGGCGAGCAGTTTGCTGATGTCAACATTATGAACAGAGTGCCCCATGGTGGAGGTTGGGTTATGGTATGGGCAGGCATAAGCTACAGACAACAAACACAATTGCATTTTATCGATGGCAATTTGAACGCACAGAGATACCGTGACGAGATCCTGAGGCCCATTGTCATGCCATTCATCGCCACCATCACCTCATGTTTCAGCATGATAATGCACAGCCCCATGTTGCAAGGATCTGTACATAATTCCTGGAAGCTGAAAATGTCCCAGTTCTTCCATGGCCTGCATACTCACCAGAAATGTCACCCATTGAGCATGTTTGGGATGCTCTGGATCAATGTGTACAACAGCATGTTCAAGTTCCCGCCAATATCCAGCAACTATGCACAGCCATTGAAGAGGAGTGGGACAACATTCCACAGGCAACAATCAACAGCCTGATCAACTCTACGCAAAGGAGATGTGTCGTGCTGCAAATGGTGGTCACACCAGATACTGACTGGTTTTCTGATCCACGCCCCTACTTTTTTTAAAGGTATCTGTGACCAACAGATACATATCTGTAATCCCAGTCATGTGAAATCCATAGATTAGGGCCTCATGAATTTATTTAAATTGACTGATTTCCTTATATGAAGTGTAACTCAGTAAAATCTTTGAAATTGTTGCATGTTGCGTTTATATTCTTGTTCAGTATAGATAAATCACCCTTAGTCTGTTCAAAAAGAACAAAATTGTTGCGATTACAATACCAGCCAGAAGGCGAACGTATCTTGAAGCAGGACTAAGGTAACACCAACATCATATTTAAGGGCGCTGAAATGAGGTGATCAATAATGGTTGCAATTGAAATCAGCTGTGCGGGTGAATTTAGCGTGTATTGATGGTTTAAGGAGACATCAGCTGGCGATAATCTAGTACCATCGATGGTTGCAATAGGCCCATTGTTATTTGATTATATTCCAATAGGCTACATTTTGTAGGCTACCTGTTAGCCTATCAATTGTCACATAATGAAAGGTGTGAAAACCGATAATAGGTTATTGTGTTTCCCTGGCTGAGTTGATGAGCTGATTTGGGCCCTCAGTTGATTGACAGATGTAGGCCTACTGTAGAATGATAAACTTTCCTCCAGTGTGGATGCTCGTCCATGTTTTATATTTAGGCTATGAATAATTTGTCAATATAGTTCTGGTCTTTCATGTGGATTGAAAGGCTGTATTGTGTAGCTTTAATAATTCATTTCGTAAAACTGTACAAAATGTTTATGCATTTGAACCTATCCGAAGAGGATTTCATTGAGCTGACACATTCTTCTTTGATGTTCAATTGATCAGACTATTCGTTTAACTTCTTGAAATAAATACAATTCATTTGTGAGCTTAATGCAGGCTCAGGCTGGTCACTATGCACTTCATCAATAAGTGCATTGATTACATCGTCCCCACAGTGACCGTACGTACATACCCCAAACAGAAGCCATGGATTACAGGCAACATCCACACTGAGCTAAAGGGTAGAGCTGCCGCTTTCAAGGAGCGGGACTCTAACCCGGACACTTATAAGAAATCCCGCTATGCCCTACGACGAACCATCAAACAGGCAAAGAGTCAATACAGGACTAAGATTGAATCGTACTACACCGGCTCTGATGCTCGTCGGATGTGGCAGGGCTTGAAAACTATTGCAGACTACAAAGGGAAGCACAGCTGCAAGCTGCCCAGTGACACAAGCCTACCAGACGAGCTAAATCACTTCTATGCTCGATTCGAGGCAAGCAACACTGAAGCATGCATGAGAGCATCAGCTGTTCCGGATGACTATGTGATCACGCTCTCCGTAGCCGATGTGAGTAAGACTTTTAAGCAGGTCAACATTCACAAGGCCGCAGGGCCAGACGGATTACCAGGACGTGTACTCCGAGCATGCGCTGACCAACTGGCAAGTGATCCTGGTTCGAATCCAGGCTCTGTCGTAGCTGGCCGCGACCGGGAGACCCATGGGGCGGCGCACAATTGGCCCAGCGTCGTCCAGGGTAGGGGAGGGAATGGCTGGCAGGGATGTAGCTCAGTTGGTAGAGCATGGCGTTTGCAATGCCAGGGTTGTGGGTTCGATTCCCACGGGGGGCCAGTATGAAAAATAACAAAAATAATGTATGCACTCACTAAACTGTAAGTCGCTCTGGATAAGAGCGTCTGCTAAATGACTAAAATGTAAATGTAAGTGTCTTCACTGACATTTTCAACATGTCCCTGACTGAGTTTGTAATACCAACATGTTTCAAGCAGACCACCATAGCCCCTGTGCCCAAGAACACTAAGATAACCTGCCTAAATGACTACCGACCCGTAGCACTCACGTCTGTAGCCATGAAGTGCTTTGAAAGGCTGGTCAAGGCTCACATCAACACCATTATGCCAGAAACCCTAGACCCACTCCAATTCGCCCCAACAGATCCACAGATGATGCAATCTCTATTGCACTCCACACTGTCCTTTCCCACTTGGACAAGAGGAACACCTATGTGAGAATGCTATTCATTGACTACAGCTCAGCATTCAACACCATAGTGCCCTCAAAGCTCATCACTAAGCTAAGGACCCTGGGAGTAAACACCTCCCTCTGCAACTGGATCCTGGACTTCCTGACGGGCCGCCCCCAGGTGGTAAGGGTAGGTAACAACACATCTGCCACGCTGATCCTCAACACGGGGGCCCCTCAGGGGTGCGTGCTCAGTCCCCCAGTTGTGAAGAGGGCACGACAAAGCCTATTCTCCCTCAGGAGACTGAAAAGATTTGGCATGTGTCCTCAGATCCTCAAAAAGTTCTACAGCTGCACCATCGAGAACATCCTGACTGGTTGCATCTCCGCCTGGTATGGCAACTGCTCGGCCTCCGACCGCAAGGCACTACAGAGGGTAGTGCGTACGGCCCAGTACATCACTGGGGCCAAGCTTCCTTCCATCCAGGACCTCTATACCAAGCGGTGTCAGAGGAAGGCCCTAAAAATTATCAAAGACTCCAGCCACCCTAGTCATAGACTGTTCTCTCTGCTACTGCACGGCAAGCGGTACCGGAGCGCCAAGTCTAGGTCCAAAAGGCTTCTTAACAGCTTCTACCTCCAAGCCATAAAACTCCTGAACAGCTAATCTCCCCACCCCCCTATTTTATGCTGCTGCTACTCTGTTTATTATTTATGCATAGTCACTTTAACTCTACCCACATGTACATATTACCTAAATTACCTCGACTAACCGGTGCCCCGCACATTGACTCTGTACCGGTACCCCCTGTATATAGCCTCCCTACTGTTATCTTATTTTACTGCTGCTCTTTAATTATTTGCTATTTTACTCATCTATTTTTTACTCAAAACTTTTTTTTTTTTACTGCATTGTTGGTTAAGGGCTTGTAAGTAAGCATTTCACGGTAATTTCTACACCTGTTGTATTCGGCACATGTGGCAAATAACATTTGATTTGATGTCGCCCAGCACTGGGCGTGAACTCATGAGGCTCGGAAGCCTGAGCGCGCTGCTTAGAGCACTGCACTACGGCAGTTAACAATGCTCTGGTAAGCACTAAGAATAATATGAATACTGATGAAACATGGGCACTTCGTTTTGTTATTATTATTATTATTATTATTATTTTATGCGTTCCCCAAACTATAGCCTTAACCACTTGGAATGAATGCCAAAACTGTTAACCTTTGAGTCGTTTCTGTTTTAACATCCATGTGTGAAAGGGCCGGATTCAAACGAAAAGCCGACTGGAATGTGTGTGCCGGGGTCAATGGCTGTAACCATTGGACCACACAAGCACTGAAGAAAACAGAAAAATATTCTGCCTATTTCTTTCCTTTAACCAAAAAATGTTAATACATCTACCCCTTACAAATATGTAAATGTATTATAATCCACATAAGAATTCACACGAGACACGGTGTAGCCTGCATGTATCCTATATAAGGTACTACGTAGGTACGGTGTGCATTGTATACAAACACAGCTTCCAGCTGCCCCCTGGCGGTGATTCTAAATATTTGTTCAGATATTAAAATCCTCCTGCTGCAGGATTATTTTCCTGCTGTGACAAAAGGGGTCAAATTAAGATCCAACATCTGTAACCATGTCTTTCTGGATTTTGATGTGTGCTTGGGGTTATTGTCTTGCTGGAAGATCCACTTGCGGCCAAGTTTAAGCCTCCTAGCCTCCTGTCAGAGGCAACCAGGATTTGGGCTAAAATGTCCTGGGACTTGGTTAAGTTCATTACATTTACATTTTAGTCATTTAGCAGACACTCTTATCCAGAGCGACTTACAGAAGCAATTAGGGTTAAGTGCCTTGCTCAAGGGCACATCGACAGATTTTTCACCTAGTTGGCTCGGGGATTAGAACCAGCAACCTTTCGGTTACTGGCACAACGCTCTTACCCACTAAGCTACCTGCCGCCCTGATACCTTTGACCTTAACAAGGCAAAGGCCCCAAGACCAGTGTAAGTAAAATAGCCCCATAACATCATATTTTACAATAGGAATGAGGTTATTTTCTTAATATGCATCCTTCTTTCGAACCCAAACCCACCACTGGTGTGCATGGCCAAAGTAATCTGATCATAGCACCTGTTCCAATCCATGTGCCACTGCCATTTAGGAAACTTCAGACTACATTTGTTGGTTGCTCTCTATAAAGGCTTTTTTTCTGGCAACCCTTCCAAATAGCCTATTGGCATGGAGGGGGCGTCTAATTGTAGATTTGGAGACTTTGTGACCCGAAGATACACCAAGTTCTGTAATTCTCCAACTACAGACTTTTCTTTGCCTCCCGAACCATCTTCCTCTCTGTGCGTGGGACAAGATACACATGCATCCAATACCAGACAAGTTTACCACTGTTCCATTGGTTTTAAACTTCTTAATTATTCCCCCGAATAGCGGTAAGTGGTATATTAGTTTTTTTGTCTGGATTTTTTTTTACCCATTGCCTGATTGATAAAAGTCAACAACCATTTCTCTCTTTTCATTTGTGAGTGCTTTGCCTTTTCCCATGCTGATGGATGACAAAGGGATTTGACATGCGTTTTAACAAATGTTTATACTCCAGTGAAACAGGAAGCCATTGAAGGCCACAATACAGTTCCTTAAGCTGAGATTTACTTAAAAAATAATGTCAATGCAGATTTAATTTAGTTTGTTTTTATTTAAAATAATCTTTAGAGGTGCCAATAATTTTGACACCTATCTTTTTTAGAAAAAAAGTGTTACTTGTTAAACAAAATCTAATTCTCTGAGCAATTGTATTGGTATAAAATAATATAATTTCCCCATTTTTTTTGGGCTTACAATATAGCTCAGTATTTGTATTATTTATTTTACACAGTCTAATTTGCTCATCTTTGTCAAGGGTGCCAATCATTTTGGACCTGATTGTATATGCCATCAATGTTCCATGATACACTAAATGAAACAATGCACTTGTCCTTCCGAGCCCACCTGCGGTGCTACACCTGTGCCTTCCTGAACAGCGGAGGGGGCAGCCTGCTGGCGGGGGTGGACGATGACGGGGTGGGGAGTAAGACACCAATTAATATATGAATAAAATGTCATTGAGTATAATAAATTGATAAACAAATGAAAACTGTTCAGAATGTAATAAAGCTGTATCAATTTGATAAAAAATATAACCATCAAATGGATAACTTCCACCCGTCCTAGGTCAGGGGGCTACGCTGTGACCACAGACAGGAGGACCAGGCACGGCCGCTGGTGGACTCCATCCTAAAGGGCTTCCACCCTACCCTGTTACCACACTCCTACTCCCTGGCCTTTCTCCCAGTGGTCAGACTGGGGCCCGAGGGCCAGAATCTGAAGGTGCTGTCTGTCTGTCTGTCTGTCTGTCTGTCTGTCTGTCTGTCTGTCTGTCTGTCTGTCTGTCTGTCTGTCTGTCTGTCTGTCTGTCTGTCTGTCTGTCTGTCTGTCTGTCTCCCTACCTGCCTGTCTGGTACTCTTGTCACTATCCTGTCTGTCAATCAGTCTCTAACCCAGCCTCTCTTCCTCCACCTCCAAGTGCTGCGCCTCACACTGTGCCCTCCTCCAGCCCTCACCCAGCAGGACCTGTACCAAACCGACCAGGGAGAGGTGTTCCTCAGGAGGGATGGCAGTGTGGAGGGACCGCTGTCTGCTAGCACCATCCAGGAGTAGGCCAGGCAGGTAGGCAGGAGAACTTATGACTGGGCCTTTGTGGAGGCATATTAGGTATACAGGAGATTAGGGAACTTCTATATATATGACTTACAGGAGTGTGACAAGTAGTCTTAGCTTAGTTTAGCACTGGATCGTGTTATCTTAGCTTAGTTTAGCTATAAATCATGGTCCAGCGGTGTTCAGCTAGCAGGTGGTGACAGCCTGTCTCTTTCTCTCCGTCTCCCCCTAGAGGTGGAGTGGGGAGGTGAGTAGTCTGCAGCACTTTGTGGAGGTCCTGCTGTCTGAGCAGAGACTGCTGCTGCAGGAGATACGCCAGCAGAGCCAGGCCATCGCTGCCCTGCAGAGTGCACAGACTCAGGCTCAGTCAGAGGCACAGGGATATACACAGGCTCCAACACAGCTACACATACATGTACACACACACACCCAGGCACAGGTACATATGAAGACACCTGCAACTGAGCCTTGGGGACAAGCTGATGTAGATATTGGGGAAGTCAGGGCGAGCGACACCGGTAGACCGAGATGACCCATCAGTCACCCCACCACCACCCAGCTCAGCTCTGCCGCTGGTACCCTTCATGGCTCCTGATCTGGACGTGTGCCTGGGAACTCCAGGCAGGGCCCATCTCTGCCCATCTCTGTCCCCAACGGCACAATCAAGTCCCTGGACCCCCACACTGCCCTCAGTGCCAATGTACAGAGTGCAGATCAAATATCTGCAGACTGATGTGAATGAATGGCCAGGTTCAATCTTCAACCATCTGAATGTCGATAGATATAATCCACCCTTCCACTGAAATACAACCCATCTCTCTCAGTCAGTGACTAATGTGTTAAGTTTTCTCTCTAGAAGCTAAAACATATCTCTAGTACCTCCAATACACCAATGAGATGAACAGTAGGCATTACAGTGCTGCCTTGTCTGCATTATGCTGCAGTACCATAAACACGTACACCAGGTGGCAGCAGAGATCCATCCCTCCCTCACAGTCGTCACTAATTACCACAGCCACAAAGTCATAAACCCCGCCTATTTCTACCATTTCTCTTCTTAAAATGTGATTTTAAACCAAACCCTAACCTTAACCTTATTATGCCTAACTCTAACCTTAAATTAAGACCAAAAAGCTAATTTTTGTTTTCATGAATTTTTACGGTATAGCCCATTTTGACTTTGGGGTCAAAGTCTATCTTCTCTAGTGTTAAACAGACCTTACTGTCTGCTTCCTGTTATGGTTCAGAATGTATGTCACATATCCTGTTCTGTTCTCCTTTTCTGCCTGACTAAAAACATCTTCAATGTTTTTCATCTGTTTTTACTGCGGTCATCTGCAGAGAGCGACATACAGTAACCGTGTGTGTGTTTGTGTGTGTGTTTGTGTGTACATGTCTACTGATCATCATGTTTGTCTGTCAGGGGATAGTTGAGTCATATTTCTCAGTGTAAACCGCTTCAGCTCCAACCCACGTACTGTAGGGTATGTCACATGTTGTGTTGTTGTGTTGTCATCATATCACCATGCATGTTGTCACCAAAGGGGAATGCTTCTGGCAGGGATCAGTCTTTATGAGGCATAGCTGATACACTATTTAGGGGGTCATGGTGTTTACAGTGTATGTGAGTGGTGCACATGTGTTTCTGTGTGTAAATGCAGTGGGCCTTTGGGCTATGGGGGTGTGTGTTTGTTGTGTACACTGTCACCACATCCTCACACAGAAAGCAGGAATGCTCTTGAAATCTTAACTTCTGATGTGGCCAGACACACACGCACACCCACACACACGCACGCACGCATGCGCACACACACACAAACACACACACACACAAACAGAAAAGACAAGTGAAAAAGAGGACAGAGAGAAAGAAAGAGAGAGAGAGAGAGAGACAGAGACCGAGAGAAAGAGAGAGAGAGACTGAGAGAGAAAGAGAGCGGGGGAGTCTATATTGTGAGGCATACGTAGGTTCCCAGTGGGTCTGTTCCTCTCACCAGAGGAGTGAATTTGCATGGCTGAGTCAGCATGCCACTTGCACCACACACATAAACTGCTTAGGAAATCCCCCTCTTCCAATGGTTGGGGTGACTCATTGTTGTGCGGGCGGTAGGTGTGCAGTGCTCTCTACCTGCAGTCCATTGAGTGTACATTATGATTCTATGTGTGTGTCTCTTGGGAAGCCTGTCCCAGAGATTGGTAGTGTAGTGTGAATGGGAGGCAGGAATCTCATGGCCGCTCTTTCACAGGAAATTCATCCAGGACAGCAAATAATGGTGCTGTAGACGTTGATACAGAAGGCCTTCTTTGGCCATCCTAAGTCCTTCCTTGTTCTCTACCATTGCCATTTATTTATATGACATATTATTACAGACAGTATTGAAACCCATCCTCACTTTGTCCTGTTACCATAGATACAATAGCCTAGGCTACATCTTGATAAACGCTGAAATGTTTTGCATTTCAGTGATATGTCTGCAGCCATTACTACTCAGTCAACCATTTCTTATGATCACATCATCATGCAAATCCCTACAGATAAGCAACTATTATCAATAGACTCCTCAGCCTCATTTACCTTGTTCACCTGTCCTTGTAAAATCCACCTCATTGTAGTTCAATGGTTACCATGCCTGTAAAGAGATCATTGATATTAACTACGTGGTATAAGATACAGTATGTTATCTGAAAAAGTATCAAAATGGCTGTTGGAAGAGTGGGGTCGTGCTGACAGTGTGATGCCACACATGGTTGTTTGTCTGCTTAAGTGACGTTCATGAGAAAGATGGTAGTGACTGCTGCATGCACACACAAACACACACTGCTGCGTTCCAATCTAATCAAAATGACACAGTGACCTTGGAAAAGAACAGTCAATGGTATTTTTAGACTGCCATTCTTCTCACAGGGGATCTTATTTTCTTTTCCTCCTGTTCTTCTCCTTTTCGTTCTTGCTCCAGTCGAGCGCCACCGTGCCTGCCTGCCTGGGACCTGCCTACCTGGGGCCTGCCTGCCTGGGGCCTTTGTGTGTGTGCGTGCGCTTGCGCTTCTGCGTGTGTGTATAACAAGGCTCTCAGGAAGACAATGAGGTCCACTCACCAGGGAAGGACTGACTGCTACTACGTCACTCTGTCTCTATTTTGACTGAAACACTTCTTCATGCCAACTCAATAAAAGGGGTTTTAATCCTTGTGCTTGGACATGTGACTGAAGGATCTTCCAGTTTAGTTCCTAAATTGACTGAATTGGATTGGAATTGACCCCAAACCTGGAAGTGTTTGTTGGTACCATCTTGCACACTCATATCCTAAAAGGGATTTTTTTGTCTTATTTGCATCAGTGCTGTTGGCTGATGAGCTATGAAAAAAGGCCAAAAAAGAATAAAAACAAGATAAAACAAGATATACAAAAATGAATTAATAGTCTTATTTACAACAGCTATTGGCCAAAAAAAGGCCAAACAAGACCTATACATCACTGATGTCTGGTGACCACACCTACCACGTCTTGAGACCCCGCCTATCAGCCTATCACTAATCAGACAGAGGCTAGTGACACACAGTCAGCATGGCTGTCTCAACCCTCAAAAACACTGACTCAGCACTGAGTCAGTTACATATGTCTAATGAGTTATTTCACACTGGAAGCTGTTTCATTTGGTATGGTTGAGTGGTGGGATGGTGGTAGAAAGAAAATGAAAGCGACAGTCAGCCACACTGTAGATCACTGTAGCGTTTGGATCAATTTAGTTCAATTCAGTAAGTGAGCTGAATTTCCGATTCCGTATGTCCTCAATGAAAAGCAAACAGAGGTAGAAAGACAGATGGATGGACGGACGGAGACAGACAGACAAAGCATACACAGACAGACTGACACAAACAGACAGACAGACAGACAGGCAGACAGAAAGAGAAGAGAATATAGGAAGGGGTGGCCTTCGTCAGAGAGAGAGAGCGTCCTCAAGGACACAGTATGCCGTCCATGGGAGTCAGGCTGAGGTATTGGAGGAACAGGGGAGGGGGTGAGGAGAGGATGGATGAGAAAGGGGATGAGGGGGAGGGGAGGCCTGCTGACGCATTTAAGAGCCGTTGCAGGGTGCTGGTGACGTCCAGACAACCATACAGAAATCACAGAGACTGGAGAGATGGCTTCGGTCCAAATACTGGTGGTGTCTGGTGAACCGTGGTGATTCCTGGCTGAAGAAGAAAAGACAAAGAGAGAGAGAGGGGGGAAGAGGAGAGAGAAAAGCAGAGAGAGAGAGAGCGAGAGAGAAAAAGCGAGAGCGATGGACTTCTCTCAGTTTGGCAATACTTTAATGCTTCACAAGGAGTAGAGCGGGTTACAGCGTTTCATATGCACTAGCCATATTATGGCGAAGGTTGTGTGGCTTCAAACTATTCATAAGACAGACATTAGAGTAGACACATGGGTGACTGTAGCACCAACATTTTGCTGTACTGATAGTTACGTTTCCCTGATATGAAGCCAAAGTCATTGGGAATTTAAAGGCCCTGGCTGTATATCTACATTGACCTGAAGCCTCATTCTGAATGAGAAAACATCTAGGTTGACCTATAAAGAAACATATGAGTAAACTCTGTATGAGAATGAGCCTGTTATCAGTGCAGCCTGTCTGTGAGATCACCCCAGCCAACCAGCCAGTCAGCCAGTCAGTCAGTCACCTTTAGCAGGGCCTTATCTAATCAGTGAGCCAACTACACAAGTGTGTGTGGTGAGTGAGTCATAATGAGGAGAGAGCGATGAGGAGCGTCAACAGTCAACAGCTAGCAGCGTAGTTCATTTCACAGGAGAAACAGACATGGGAGGGAGCGGCAAGGGAGGTGAGACAGGAGGGAGAGTCAATAGCCAATAGGGTTGTTTGTTACAGAGGGAGAAACAGACAGACAGACGTGAGCGAGCGAAAGGAGGGAGTGTCATTTCTGAGACAGGGAGAGTCAAACAGCCAACAAGGTAATTTCAGAGAAAACCCAGACATGAGCACATACACATGGCTGAGAATCATCGCTGCAGTGAATCCTCCTTCCTAGAATGACTACACTAGCATGAGGGTAGTTTAAAGAGAGTTAGACTGTGGTGTATTACAGTAAACTGTCAACATCTGTTCTAGTGACAATAGGAATGGTTACTCAGGAGGAGCTTATGAGGGGTGTGGTGGACAGACAGACAGACAGAATACAGGTATTCAACACCTGACTTGAAAGACTGATATAAGGGCTTTCAAATTAGTTAAGTCAAGGTATTGTACATTTGAAACATTAAAACATAATAAATTAAGATCAGGGACAGAAAACAGGTAAAGACTCTGATTTCAGCACAGTCCTTAGTACAGCTACAGTATGACAGCCCATGGTTTGGAATAGCCTTCACTAGGAGTGGACAAGGCCCCCAGAGAGGTAGTTATACAATATGATTATAGGTCAAGGTGAACCTCAGCTATGACCAGATTAGCATATCGTCTGCCCCTGTCCTGCCTGTGGATTATCACCCTGTCTACTCCTGTAGACATAGTCTCATCAGGCAACTCTGTATGAGCCTCGACTTGTACTGTTACTTTGTATTGGTGCTAGACATAAACTATAACTACCTGTCAAACCTGTTCATTATAACGCTGTCATCTAATGATAGTTTACCATCCATCCATATCCATTGAGACAGCTGTACAGTAGCGGTGCGTGGGTAAAATCACTAAAGCCAAGCCAAGCCAGTAAAAAAAGCCATTGTTTGCTCTATAACCCATTCGTTCATACGCCACCGTGATATACAATAAGGCCATGACAATCACACAGTGGCGGACTTCGGTGAAGTCGGTGTTTGGAGGATATCTTGGCACGGGTGTTGTTAGGCCTGAGACAAAGTTGAGCGCCGGCAAACCGTGCCAATATATCCTCCAAACACTGGCTTCGAGGGCATTATCACTTTTATACAACTGGTTACCAAAATATTCAAATAATGATTGACATCATTTTTCATTAAAAACGTTATTTGGATGAATTTATTCATACTATTTCATCCTTCCACAAGATATAGTCCCGACACAAATCAAGGGTTGCTACCCAAGCTGGCTGGTCGTTCGATCTATCGGTTCGGTTGCCAGAGAGCGACCCAGTCGTTCAGTCTTTTTGTTCTGTATCTATGGACGCGACCCAGTCGTTTAGTCTTTTTGTTCTGTATCAGTCGTTCGTTCTAAATGTTCCATTGCCATACTGGCTGGCAACGTTCTTATCCCTTGCTTGCTAGCTAGCCAACTACGCCTAACTTACTGTCACGTCAAACAATGCAGCCAGAATAACAACAGTAGCTGCATTTGCATTTGTTTACGATGTTTTTAAGTGTCATTTATTTGGAAGCATCCATAACAATGAGCTAATGAGGCGCGATTTCGCCTGGCATAGAAAATGTGCTCTCTCCGTCAGGACACTGTTGTTCAGAGGAGCTAGCCAAGAACACAGCTAACACAATCACTTCCAACTGAAGCTGGAAAGACTGCAAACTAGCTGCAGTTCGTTTCATTTTACCTTTTTTCAATTGACAATTCTTTGCATATATCCATAAAAATGATGCCAGCTGATTCATGATTTCGACTGGCTGAGAAACGCTGCCTGTCTGTCTCGTCCAGTCTCCCGACACGTTCATTATTATGGGACAGCTGGAGATCGAATTTCAATATTGAAACAATGTCGCAAATGTCGGAGAGACAGACAGCAAGGTTTATACAAATCTCCGCTGTTGAAAACTAAATGTTAGTCTTAAAGAAATGTGAGATAGTGTCTAGATGCTTTTTATAGTGGAGATCAAGTTTACAAATTGCCTGGCTGGGCTGATGAGACAGTGGATTGCGCAGTAAGATGGAACAGAGTAAATAGGCATTTTAACGTCATAGATTTAGCTGGTGGTAACTTGTGGAATAGACACCGGCTGGAATATGGTTTTAACCAATAAGCATTCAGGATTAGACCCACCTGTTGTATAATAAATGATAACGCCCGAGAAGCCGGTGTTTGGAGGATATATTGGCATGGGTGTTGTTAGGCCCAAGACAAAGTTGCATAAAAAGCAAATATTGCATGTAACAAACAGTATTAAAACCTGCAGCATGGTCAAGCAAGTTAGTTTACTAAACAACTACTGATTTAGAACCACAGCGTTACCGCAAGTCAGAACAAAGACAACAGGAGCAATGCCTCCGCTATTCCAGCACCATTTCAACTTAAACATTTAAACATCAAATCAACAAGGCTATATATGCTAATAAATGATCAACCCTGCAAGCAATTCAAGACAATATTATTATGGTGGGGGATTATAATACTGTTTTAAATAGCTCAATGGACCGTATAGGAAATCACACCACAAACAATCACCCACATGCTCTTAAGGAAATCGTGAATGTCATGGATACATTAGAACTAGTAGATATATGGAGGCTTAAATATCCTGATCTAGTGAGATATACATGGCGGAGACTCAATCAAGCTAGTCGTCTTGACTTCTTTCTTATCTCATTCTCGTTGGCACCAAAAGTTTAAAAAGTGTTGATAGGGGACAGAATGCAGTCGGACCATCATATAATTGGCATATACATTACTCTTACTGAATTTCCACGTGGGCGAGGATATTGGAAATTTTATCAAAGCCTTTTGGATGATAATTTATTTTTAACTAGGACAAAGGAATTTAGAACTGACTTTTTCCGACATAACATAGGTACAGCAAATCCCCTTATTGTATGGGACACCTTTAAATGTGCCTTTAGAGGCCATGCAATTCAGTACTCATCTCGAAAACAAAAGCAATTTAGGTCAAAAGAGTTTATACTAACAAAGGAAATAGAAAGTCTATCAGAACAGATAGATGGCAATAAAAACTGTAACATAGAGGCTCAGAATAAATTAGAGGAAAAACTAAAAGAAATGGAGAAACTTATTCAAGAAAGATCAAGTGTAATATATTATAAAAAATAAAGCAAACTGGATGGAATATGGGGAAAAATGCACAAAATTATTTTTTAATCTTCAACATAGGAATGCTACCAAAAAGAATTTAA